GTATCAAGTAAATAATACTAAACTTGTTCCCGTAATTCAATAAATCAACAAGAAGAAATCAGAAAGTCATAGCACGGGAACAACAATACCTTATTTCCTTGTGCTCCTTAAAAATATATATGACAAATTTACAATACTGTGTTGTGCTACAGAAACAAAAAGAATATCTTACTTCTAATATTGCAATGCTAATTAGTAGAAACAGTACAATATGAGAAACTAGCAAGAACAATTATGAGGACCACAAAATTCATGGACGACTCAAGGCTATGGTGAACAATATAAGGGTTGTAATGAGCTTAAGCAATGTGCATAATTGAAGCATTTAAGTTTTAACTAAAAGAGGAAGAAGGAAAACCTGTTGAAGCGTGCAATCCTTGTAAATAAAGACTCTTCGGATGGTAACTGTAGCGATAGCCAAATAACAAGCTAATATCTTGCCTAGAACAGCAGTTCCAGAACAATTAACGCCAAAACAAAATCATGATTTGCCGAAACAAGTGATAGAGCTCGATTGAACTTAACCAAACTGAAGGAAATGGCATTCTGGGACACAGAGGAAGATTTGAAGAGGTACAACGACCCCTGTTCAAGCCAAGATTTAGTGCCTAGGGTTATATAAATTTCAGTGACTCTGGCGACGAATTGAAAGACGTATGCGATGGTGAATTCAAAATAGGTTGAAGGCTTTTGGAATAATTGAGAGTGATTTCAAATTCTTAATAAAAGAGGGCTGAAATCAACAGAATGATAACGAGGGTTTCCTCTGCTTGGGAGAGTCGGGATTGCGGAAGGGGAAAGGAATATAATTAACGCCCATTTTTTCTAACCAACTAGTTTCTCCTCACGTGCTTTGCACGTGTATGCCTAGTTATATAAAATCGACTTCCACTACTGGTCTTACTAAGATTGGATTGTTCATCAACACTAACCAATCAAGCAAAACGGATTCTGACAAACATGGACATTTTAATTCATTATTAGATCTCAACAGCAGACGAATAATTTTTGCTCCAAATATCCTCTCTATCAGCCGTCACAGTAGAATAATTATCTTTTCGCTTGACCTTGGACTCCATGTTTCTGCTTGTGGCTTTTTCTTATAATCTTCCCAGTAAAATAGATAAATCCTCATTCTGTAGCCGAACAATCATGCACTATCAAACTTGATTTATCGAGTCTTTTTTTTTTTTTCAAATTTCTTCACATATTTGTAAGTTTGCACAAGGAAGATTCCACTAAATTGAAAATTTAGTATCCTAAAATTTTTGTAAAACATTGAAAATAATTCAATGGAGTAAAATTGTGCAAGAAAATTTTAACGAAAAATATAAAATGAATGTAGACATGATATTTTCCGAAAAGTACATTTAAATTAATAATTTTTCCACATGGTGCAAATTTTTATTTAACTAGTTTTAGTGTACGCGCGTTGCGCGTGTCCTACAATAATTTTTTTTTTTAAAAATAAGACCACAATAGTAATATATTAAAAATTGTGCTTGAGTTATTATATATAAAATAAAAGTGTAAGATATGTTAATGTAGATAAATCTACTTGCGATCTTTTTACATAGATTACTAAGTGTAAGATCTAATATAAAAGTGTAAGATATATAGCTCGTCTCAAATTTGAAATATTAATTGCAATTATACTTTTATCAAATGCATTATAAAATTTTATCTTTAAATAAAAATTGTTTTTAAAATAGTAAAGAATCAATGACTGTTTTATTTTTGGATCTTTATGCTTGTTGAAACGTTAGTGTTATATGGTTCAAATAAGGAAGAATTTATATAAGAAAAAGTATTATCGATTTTAAACTCCTAAATATTAGGAATTCCCACACAGTTCAAATAGGAAAAATATTAAAGGCCATAATTTTAGTTGCTTTTAAACTCGTAAATTGTAGGAAAAATAATTAAATGATAATTTTGTCTAGTGTGAAATATGTTTTTAAAGGGTAAAAAAGTCGAACCTATGGGCCTTCGTGCTTTTAATATAGTATTAGTTTGAGCATATGCACATTGTGCGTGTACCTCATTTCTATAAATATAATATTTTTTAAAATTACATAATTGTTATATTAAAAATTGTATATGAGTTAGTATAAATTAAAAGTTGAAAAAAGGTATAGGTTCCTAAAACTGATGATTGTTGATCTTATAAATCTAAATATATCCCTAATGAAAGTCCAACCTAAGGTGTTTGTAGAGCATTGATCTTCTTTTATTAAGTTGGATAAATGTGATTAACGTTCATTATTTTTTTAAGAAATTTGAATTTTTTAAATTTTATATTAAATAATTCAAATACTTTTATGAATAATATCTATGTAATTTTTATAATATATAATTCCTTCGAACAACCAAAAATTTAAATTGAACGAATCTGTGGAGAAAGCAGAAATTATATTTGCGGATAAAGTAGACAATTGCTTTGTTCAACTAAAGGTTATTTTGAAAAAAAGGAAAACTATGATTAAAATAATCCTAAACCTAAAGTGATATTATTGTTGTTGAGAATCCTAAACCTAACTAAACCTAAAGTGAATCCTAAACTTGATGATATAGTGTAAAAGAATCCTAAAGCTAAATTGCTGTTATTTTTCTAAGAATATTTATTATGGTTTTCTAATTTTTCTTGTATTTTATTTTTGCTTACCTAAAACATATTTATAAATGGCTTCTGCCAATTATAACTTTAGATTTATTTTACTATTTTTTTTATGGACATGTAAAACCGGCAAGAGAATTATTCTTCCTTAATAACTTTCACTAATTTTTATTCATAGAGTTATATCTCCTTAAAACTATTCGTCTCATTTTTATGAACAAGAGATGTTCTATTTATCAAAGGACTCTAGCGGCTTAATTTGGCATAATGCTATTATAAATAGAACCCTAGATGCTTAGTTGGTGCTAAACGTTGCAATTATTCTCAATAACAATATAGTTATTCAAATTCAAGTTAAAATTGATATTTTGTACCTAAATTTAAGAAGGATTTCCTACATTATTTAAATAAGGAAAAATTTAATAGCTATAGTTTTAGTTGATTTCAAACTCCTAAATATTAGGAAACAATAATTAAAGACTATTGTGTCTAGTGTGAGCACTTTATTTAAATGGTAAAAAAAACATTTTGCTAAGGGTTTTCGTGCTTTTAATACAGTACTAGTTTGTATCTACGTGCGTTGCACGTAATTGGCATAACAAAAAGAGGAAAATCATTGTTTGAGAAAATTAAAATTGTTCAGTGACTCAACATTAGAGAGTGTCCGCTCTTCGCATCCTCATGTTTTGTTTTTAGAATCATCACAAAGTTTCTCAAATATATCTTACTCTAACTGATAAACTATTGAAAATTGTTAAAGCGGTGCATAACAGAGCAAACACACTCAAAGAACAATAAACGTCTTTTTATGTTGAAGCTCTTTGGTTTGGCTACTCATTTATATCAGGGCCACATTTTAAATCTACAGCCTAAGAACAATAAACGTCTCCTTTATGTATGATGTCTTCTCTAAGTTCTAGCATTTCCTACACAACGTTATACTTCTTTTTAAAAAGTCCGTCCTTATTGCAACACTTTATTCTAACTTATTTCATAGAGTTTATTCAAAAACCACAATAATAATGGAGAAAGCATCAAAATTAACTTTAAGCAGTAAAACTGTAGAAAGTAGCTTACATAATCAAAAGCTAATAGTATATATGTTGAAAGTTATTATATTTGAATAGCACGATATAAATAAATGGAAAAAATTAAAGGTCTTATGATGCAATGAGTCCAGTTAACATATCACGTAGTACAAACTTAGAAGTTGGCCGACGCAAAAGAAAGCAAAGCAAATATTACTGAAAGTGAAAACAAAGAGCGTCCTTGGAGCGTTCAATTTCCTCCTAGAATACAGCCTATCGTTTGTCCATGATAACCCTATAAAGAACCGGATTTACTATGTGGCATTGACAAGAATTCTAAGCGTATAGGAATTCCAACCTTAAGTAATTACAATTACATCCTTAAATTATACAAATATTTGAGGACATAAAAGTCGATCAAGATTTCGGGAATATTTTAGTCGTTTAGCATTTAGCATAAAATATTCGCGTTTTTATAATAATAAGTTCACATAAATTGGAACAAAGGGAGTAAATGACTATTCACTAATATCAGTAAAATAGTTAAATAACTATTTGTTTCAACGTGAAATTTATTTTTGTAGTAGCTATAACTTAGCACTTTAAAACGATAGCTATCCAAATTGTTCTAGTTGAAATAGAAAAATAATAATTTAAGGACTCCTTACTCTAAAAGAATAAAAAAGAACGAGCAAACGTAAAAGTGCTCGAAATAAGAAATACTCCCAAAACTAAAAGGAGTTGTAATAAGTTAAAGTTGATAAAGGACTCCTAAAAACCGAGAAGCATTGTAATTTTTATGTTTGCCTTATGCGTAGTTTAAATGGGAAAAGAATTCTAGCCTTAGGTGATTTACAATTATATCCTCAAATTATATAAATATTGAAGGTTATAAAAGTCGATCAATATTTCGAGGCTATTTTAGTCGTTCAACATTTAGCATATATTATTCGTGCTTTTATAATAATATACATAGATATATAAGAGATGTGATAGATCCACATTGATCATATATAAAATCTTTACTATATACTTTTACGTATAATTATTTCCTCAAAGCTTTGTTTTTTATAATATTGATATTATTTTACAAAACTCTATATTACATAACTTGATATACACGTGCAACACACGTAAAGAGAATATCACACGATAACATCGTCAGACCAATAAAATAAGTTTATTTACAACGGACCCTCAATCATTTAGCTAAACATATTTTTTTTTTTTGGTAATTAAATTTTTTTATTACCAAGCAGTAACATTTACAGTACTTTTTTGTAGCTTGTTCAGGACAATAGTCCCAGTCTAAGCTACTGCTTCCTTCTTACTTCCTATCCTTGTCTATACATTTTCTACACAATGGGATATGAATTCAATTCCTGCAGTCGTTTCCCCAAGCATTTCTTCATAGAACCTCTGCCATGAATGTCTTGCACTAAGCTTCTTGTGATTGCTTCTGCATTACTTTCAACACCTTCGAAGATTCTTGAATTCCTCTCTTGCCAGATGTAGTATATGCTTCCCACCAGTGTCATTCTATATATCTCAGCCTTTGCACTCTTTCCACCACAATGTTGTTCTGCCCATGCTAGTTCATAGTTCCAGTCCATCACTGATCTACTTATCTGCATCCATCTGAGCATTGCAGCCCAAATTTTCATTGAGAATGGACACATGAAGAATAGGTGATCTATGCTCTCTGCTTCATCTTTGCATAGTGGACATGTCTCATCTTGAATACATCCCCAAGCTTTCAGTCTATCCCTAGTTTGGAGTCTTCTGTGAGCTGCCAAGTAACCCACAAAGATCCACTTTGGTAAACCTGCATTATTCCAGATAATCCTCCTCCATGTCACTTTGGTATATTGTCCTCTTTTCTTTAAGTACATCTCTTTAACTCTAAAATGCTGCATTCTGATTACATCTTCTTCTGAATAGCCATCTTCTTCATAATATTTCTTGGCTTTGAAAATTTTCTGAACTACCCATGAAGCCTGGTACTGTATCATCCCCAACCAGGCTTGCACTTCTTATAGTAAACATGAATCCATTGTACCCATAGTTTGTCTTTCTTCTTGCACAGGTTCCATAAAAGCTTTCACGTTGCAACCTTATTCCACATGCCTATATCCATCAAGTTCAGACCACCAGTTGCCTTTGGGAGACACATCTTGTCCCATGTTATTAGAGCCTTCCTTGTATTCTCCACATTGCCTGTCCATAAGAACTTTCTGCATATGTTTTCAATCAGCTGTATAATCTTCTTAGGAAGTAGGAGAATTTGGGACCAGTATACTTGTATTGAGAATAGTACACTTTTGATAAGTTGTACTCTTCCTGCATATGTTAGAAATTTTGCAGTCCATGCCTTTATTCTTCCTACTATCTTTTCAAGTAGTGGTTGATACTGCATCACTGTCATCCTCTTAGTGCTCAAAGGTACTCCCAGATATTTCACTGGTAGTGATCCTTTTGTAAAGCCCAACATGTTTAGGATTTCCTGTTTAGTGTCTTCTCTTACCCCTCCAAAATATATAGAGCTTTTTTCTGCATTAGCATTTAATCCTGATGCCTTTGAGAACTCTAGAAAGCACTGATATAGCATCTTCACAGAGACATAGTCCCCTCTGCAGAACAACAAAAGGTCATCAGCAAAACTGAGCTGAATTATGTTCAATTTAGCACATTTTGGGTGGAAGTTAAAGTCTGGTCTCCTTCTTAGAGTCTTCAGTAACCTTTTGAGGTACTCCATAGCTAGGACAAATAGATAGGGGGACAATGGATCACCTTGTCTCAGTCCTCTCTTTGCTTTGAAAGGTACTGAGTGTTGTCCATTGATGACTATGGAATATGAAACACTTCTCCTACATGTCATGATCCAATCTACAAATTTTCCTGGTAGTTGAATGCTTCTTAATACCTGCTCCATGTAATCCCATTCAATTGAGTCATATGCTTTTCTCATATCCACTTTTAGCATGCACCTTGGAGATATGCCCTTTCTGTTGTACCCTTTGACAAGTTCATGGCTCATCAATATGTTATCACTGATCAATCTTCCTGGAACAAAAGCTGATTGGTTTTCATCTACTATATCCTCCATAACTCCCTGCAGCCTGTTAGTTAGGATCTTGGATATAATCTTGTAAAGAATAGTGCAGCAGGAAATAGGTCTGAATTCAGTCACCCTAGTTGGATTAGGAACTTTAGGAATTAGTGTCACTGTGGTGCAGTTGATTGGTTGATATAGCTTGCCTTCTGAGAAGAACTTCATCACTGCTTCACTGATTCCTTCTCCAATCACCCTCCAAGCCTTTTTGAAGAATAGTGCATTAAATCCATCACACCCTGGTGCCTTGTTATCATTTATTCCCAACAGTGCTCTATGAATCTCCTCTTTTGTTACATCTGCTATTAGCTGTTTTTGCTGTTGCCTATTAACTATTGGTCCTTCTCTCATTATTGCTGTGTTTATTGCTGGCATCTTTTCTGCTGTTGTTCCTAGTAGTTGTTTGTAGAACCCCATTATCTCTTCCTCCATCTCCTGCTTTGTTTGTGTCATTGTACCATTATTTTTAGCAGCTTCTGTATTCTATTTTGGGAGTTCCTGCTTTTCATACTAGCATAGAAGTATAAATTGTTTCCATCACCTAGTTTCAGCCACTGTATTCTTGATTTTTGTTTGAGCATGCTTTCTTCCACCCTTAGGCATTTCTCCAGTTGTAGTTTTGTCTCCTTTTCAGCTGCTACCATATTGCTTGGTTGGTCTGGCTTTCTCATCTGTTCCTGCAGTATGCATAGTTGTTCTCTACTCTTGGCAATCTTTCCTCCTATAGCATTGTATTCCTCTGCATTTAGTTTCTTCATTGCTGCCTTTACCCTTTTCAGTTTCTCCCAGATATCTTTCATATTATTCCTTGCCCCTCATTCTATCCAAGCTCTGTTCACTATCTCCAGAAATTCTTTGTGATCAGCAAGATGATTCAGAAATTTGAAAGGTTTGGGACCTGCTTCTTCTTTATCTGTGAAAGTGATGTTTAAAGGTGAATGATCTGAGCACCCCGGATCCATTACCCATACCTCTAGGTGAGGCATAGTCAGCATCCATTTGTCATTAACTAAAGCCCTGTCAATCCTACTATAAGTATGCCCATTTGTCCAGGTGAATTGTCTACCAGTTGTTCTCATTTCAGTCATCATCTACAAAATTATTGAAATCCTTTACTTTTATTTCCTGCACTGGGTTGCCTATTGGTCTGTCATCATTACTCCTTATAGCATTGAAATCCCCCATGATTAGCCATGCCTCCTGAATGTTATTCTTTATTTGTATTAGGTCCATCCATAGCTTCCTTCTATCCTCCACACTATGTAGTCCATATACTGCAGTAAAATCAAATTTCATATTCATGTCCTTGATTAGTAGCTCAACATGAATAAGTTGTTCTATTTTTTCCTTGATCACACATCCTATTATCTTTCTGTCCCATACTAGCCATATTCTTCCTTTACTACTAAATTCATAATTTGCTACCCATTCCCAATCTGCAACAATTCTCTTCATAGTTTGGTTAGACTTTTGTTCTTTCACCTTATGTTCTAGAATTGCCATCATACTATCCTTATTGCTTCTTATGAACTTCCTAACCTCTTTTTGTCTTGGGATCTTATTAAGACCCCTTATGTTCCATGTGACCAGCCTCATATAGGAATGAACAGAGGCTGTGTGCATCCATCCCCCTCACCTAGTCTTCTTTGCCCACTTGTGCCTTCTCCCCATTGTCCTAGGTTCATTATCTGCAAACCAGTCTCAGCTAGGATGTTAAAACCACTTAAAATGTCTATTGCCTCTTCTCCCCTTTTCTCCTTATTTCTACTTATGGACTTTCCTGATGCCTTTTGCCACCCCTCATCCTCATGGCACTCTCTCCTGCTGCTTATTGCATTATTTATCCCATCACTTTTAGTATTTTGTTCCCTCTGCTCATGAATTGTTGTTTGTTGTTCATTCTTATCATTGGTTTTCATCTTAGGCTGCCACTCTTGTCTCTGCTTCTGTTGGTTTACCTTGGCCTTCTGTACTTGTTGCTCTCCACATGTATGCCCTATTTGTCTGCAACTTTGACAAAATTCTGGCACCCATTCATAGTCCACCCTTTGGCTAAATTCCTTCCCTGTTGGATCAGCTACCTTGATGAACTATAAGTATGCCTATTTAGCTAAACATATAATAATAATATAGATTTGACTTATACCTATAGTACAGATTGCACCGTTGCTTTTTTTTTTATTGAATAATTGTGTTCATTTATAAGGAGATAGATAATATGTGAAAATCAATAAAATAAAAGTAGTAGAATAATTATGGATCAAAATCAAGAAGGCAAGAATACAAATAAAATTTTGAATATTATGCCAGTACAAGTTGCTTTTCATGTGAAGAAAAACACGAAACTTGATATATAGCTTGATACACCAACAATAATAATTTTTCATTAAATACAACTTCAAAAATCAAATTAGTTCATAATTTCTTCCATTATAAAGAAAGACAACTAATCTATATTTAGTGAACGTTAATCTTCAATGATTTCTTTTCATCCCCATCCTTAGTTTATCTTCTTATTCCTCAACCGTGGTAGCATCAACATCTTCAAGTTCATTTTTTTTGAGCAATTAAAGTTCCCCATATAAATTTTAAGTTTTAGTAATTTTTACACAAATTTCAAGTGGATGAATCAGTCGAGTAGACTCAGTTGAAGACGGAATTGCACTTTTCTTATCAATTTTGACAAAAAAAGTTAATTCTCTATGTTTACTCAACACCATCTTGATTAGCATTTAACTTGCAATTTGATGTCTTAGAATTCCAAAATACTACAGTATTGAACAATGCTTCTCCTTCATTCAATCTTACTAAGCTAAATCTAAAATGCATACATTAAATTAGAAAGGAATAAAAGAATATTGGCAGTACCTTTAGGAATTCTAGAAGCTGACACTTGTCACCAAATTTTTAATTGAAGAAGCAAGGTACTGTTCGTCGATTTAGTGGCTGAATTCAAAATAAAAATTAAATATAATGGATAACTAAGTAGTATATAAAGTTGAAGGTTGTTTTGATTAGATTAGATCAATTACCTTCAGTCGTTTGTAGGATTGGATATAGTAGGTTCGTGCGTAATCCATATCCATTGCCAATCAAATTTTCCGGCATTGAAGAAAAATAAGTTTATAGTAGCATGATAGATGAATAAACTAATCCAAAAAATAGTCGCTACCTTTCAACTATAATTCCTAAAAGTAACCCAAAGGTGTCAAATGGATTAAGTTTTTGGTTATCTATTGATTTGCATGCAATGCTGCGAACAGATGGGTGGCGGACATAATAATAAATAGTGGAGCAACCAAATTGATACAACTTGTCACGACCCAAATCCCCTCTCTGGTCGTGATGGCGCCTCTCGTGAAGACAAGGCCAGCCAACTAACCCATATCGCCTTTTCAAAAATAGTTAAACATGAATAAGCAGTCTAAATATAATTTAATAATATTAATTAACGGAAGTACAACCCAACACAGCCCTAATCGGGGTGTCACAAGTCACGAGCATCTATAAGAGTGTAAATACATCTACAAGGTCTAAAAATACACTGAACAGGAATAATGAACAACAGAGAGAGAAGCGGTGCTGCGAACGCTGGCAGTCACCTCGCTAAACTCCTATAGCTCTGCCTCCAATCAGCCAAAACCCGCTACCGGGTAAATAAATACCTGCATCTGCACACGAGGTGCAGGGAGTAAAGTGAGTACTCCAACTCAGTAAGTAATAAAGGTAAATAATAACTGAGCAGTAAGAAATCACGTAAAACAAACCGTCATGCTGTATAGAGCAGTGTAAAACCCTTTTTAGAAAACAGTGTAGCTGTGAAATCCTTAGAAAAACATCTCAGCTCAGTTTAGACCTCTTTTGGAAATAACTTTTTCAGCGGTTACGCAATTGAATGCA